ACAGGTGTCTTTTTGATACAGTGACTGCTTTTCCTTGGGGTAGATGTCCAGTAGTGAAATTGCTGGATCAAATGGTAGTTCTACTTTTAGTTATTTGAGAAATCTTCATACTGTTTTTCATAAAGGTTGTACTAACCTACATTCCCACCAACAGTGTATAAGTGTTCCCTTTTCATGGCCTCCATGCCAATATTTATCGGCTTTTGACTTTATATTAATGGCCATTCTGGCTGGGCTCTTGGGATTTTTTACACCATTCTAATAGGTATGTGATGGTTTCTCATTTTGATTTTAATTTACATTTCCCTAATGTCTAATGATGTTGAACATTTTTTCTCATGTTGATTTGCCATCCATACATTCTTTTGTAAAATGACAAAATCTTTTGCTAATTTTTATTTTTTATTACACTGTGTAAGTTCTTTGTATACTCTGGTTACAAGTCTTTCTATGAGGTACTGTTTTGTGAAAATTTTTCCCCAGTCTTGGCTTGCGTTTTCATTTTCATAATGGTGTCTTTTGAAGCACAAGTGTTTTAAATTATAACAAAATACAATTGATCATTTCTTTTTTCTGTGTATTTTCTTTGTGTATCTAAGAAATCTTTGCCTAATCTAAGGTCACAATAACTTTCTTTTATATTTTAGTCCAGAATATACAAAATCACTTGCTACATTTAGGGCTATGATTCATCTTGAGTTAATGTTTGTATCTGGTGTGATGTCAAGTTCCTTTATTTATTTATTGCACATGGATGTTCGATTTTTCCAGCACATTTGTTAAAGAGGCTATCCTTTCTTCACTGGATTTTCTTAGTAGTTTTGTCAAAAATCAATTGACCATGTTTGAGTGGGTGTATTTCTGACCTCTTTATTTCATTCTGTTAAGCAATAAGTGTATCCTTTAACTAATACACACTTTTTTCACTACTGCAGCTTCATAGTAAGCTTGAAATCAAGTAATATGAGTTAACTTTCTTCTTTTCCAAATTTCTTTAGCTAATCTAGATCATTGCAATTCCATATAAATACTCATGTACACACAGATATACATGTATATAACTATATATATTTATATATAAATAACACACATATATGTATATTTTTATACACACACACACACACCCCTCAATTTAGGTATATATATACACGCACACATATATGTGTGTGTGTGTGTGTGTGTGTATATATATATATATACACACACACATAGATATGTATATATGCATATATCCAGCATATGTATGTATATGTGTGTGTTATTTATATATAAATATATATATTATATTATAGTTTATATTATACAGAAATATAGTCATTTATATATAAAGATACTATAGTTTATATTTTATATACATATATGCTTGCCAATTTCTACAAAACTGCTGTTGGGATTTTGGTTAACATTGCAGTGAATCTATAGGTTGATTTGGAGAGAACTGACGACTTAATACAGTGACTCTTCTGATCCAAGGACATGTAATCTCTCTCCACGTGTGGAGCTTTCATTTTCTTTCTTACAGCCATGCTGTGGAGCTTTTTAGTTTATAGGCCTTGCACCTATCTTGTTAAATTTATCCCCCAGCAGTTTCTATTTTTGAGGCTATTGTGCAGGCATACCTGGTTTTATTGTGCTTTGCTTTATTGTGCTTTGGAGATATTGTGTTTTTTACAAATCGAAGGTCTGTGGCAACTCTGTGTCAAGGAAGTCTATCAGCATCATTTTTCCAATAGCATGTGCTCACTTCAGGTTTTGGTGTCACATTTTGGTCATTTTTGCAATATTCCAAACTTTTTCATTATTATTGTATCTGCTATGATGATTGGTGATCAGTGATCTTTGATATTATTATTGTAATTGTCCTAGGGCACCAATGAACTGCACCCATATAAGACAGTGAACTTAATGAATGTGTGTGTTTTGACTGCTCCATTGGTTAGCCATTTCTCCTTCTCTCTCCCTTTCCTTGGGCTCCTATATTGTCTGAGACACAGCAACATTGAAATTAGGACAATTAGTAACCCTACAGTGGCCCCTAAGTGTTCAAGTCTCTCATTTTAAATCAAAAGTTAGAAATGATTAAGCTCAGTGAGGAAGACATGTCAAAACAGAGATAGATAGGCTGAAATCTAGGCCCTTTACACCACAAAGCCAAGTTGTGAATGCAAAGAAAAAGTTTTTGAAGGAAATTAAAAGTGGTACTCCAGTGAACACATGAATGTTAAGAAAGCTAAACAGACCTGTTGCTGATATGAAGAAAGTTTTAGTGGTCAGGTTAGAAGATCAAACCAGCCACAACATTCCCTTAAGCCAAAGCCTAATCCAGAGCAAGCCCCTAACTCTCTTTAATACTGTGAAGGCTGAGAGAGATGGAGAAGTTGCAGAAGAAAAGCTGGAAGCTAGCAGAGGTTGGTTCATGAGGCTTAAGGAAAGAAACCATCTCTATAACATAAAAGTACAAGGTGAAGCAGCGAGTGCTGATGGAGAAGCTGCAACAAGTTACCTAGAAGATTTAGCTAAGATTATTAATGAAGGTGGCAACATTAAACCAAAGATTTTCAATGTAGACAAAACAGACTTTTATTGAAAAAAGATGCCATCTAAGACATTCACTGCTGGAGAAGAGAAGTCAATGCCTGACTTCAAAACTTCAAGCACAGACTAACCCTCTCATTAGGGGCTAATGTAGCTGGTGACATTAATTACAACCAATGCTCACCAGATATTCTGAAAATTCTAGGACCCATAAGAATTATGCTAAATTTATTCTGCTTGTCCTCTATAAATGAAACAACAAAGTATGAATGACAGCTGCTTTGTTTACAGCATGGTTTACTGAATATTTTAAACCCATTGTTGAGACCTACTACTCAGAAGAAAAAAGATTTTTTTGTTTTCAAAATATTGTTGCTCATTAACAAAGTACGGGGTTTACCTGAGAACTCTGATGGAGACGTACAAAGAAATTAATGTTGTTTTCATGGCTGTTTAATACAACATCAGTGTTGCAGCCCATAGATCAAAGTGTAATTTCAAATTTCAAATCTTATTATTTAAGAAATACATTTTGTAAGGCAATAGCTGCCATTGATAATAATTCCTCTGACAGATCTGGATGATATAAATTGAAAACCTTCTGGAAAGGATTCACCTTCTTGGATGCCATTAAGAGCATTTGTAATTCATGGGAGGAAGTAAAAAAATGAACAGTAAGAGTTTGGAAAAAGTTGATTTTGAGGATTTCAAGATTTCAGTGGGGAAAGTAACTGGAGATGTAGTAGAGATAGCAAGAGAACTATAATTAGAAGTAAAGCCTGAAGATGGGACTGAATTGCTTGCAATCTCATGATCAGGCTTGAATAGATGAAGACTTGCTTCCTTATGGTTGAACTAAGAAAGTGGTTTCTTGAGATAGAATGTATTCCTGGTGAAAATGCTGTGAATATTGTTGAAATGACAACAAAGAATTTAGAACAGTACGTAGACTTAGTTGATAAAGTAGTGGCAGGGTCTGAGGCGATTTACTCTAGTTTTGAAAGAGTTCTACTGTGGATAGATGCTATAAAACAGTATCACATGCTACAGAGAAATCTTTTGTGTAAGAAAAAGTAAATTGACATGAAACACTTAACTGTTGTCTTATTTTAAGAAATTGCCACAACTACTCCAATCACCCACCACCCCAATCAGTCAGCAGTTGTCAACACAGACCACCACTGGCAAAGGGATTCACATGTTAGTTGTAGCTTATTTTGGTAGATTCTTTATTTAATATTTTATACACAGATAATCATATTACCTGCAAATAAGACAATTATCTTTCTTCCTTTTCACTAGATAGGAAGGACTATTTTTCTTTTCTTTCCTTGCTGTGTGTTACTGCCTAGACAAGTGTTTATTATAAATGTGGTAATATTTGATGCCCTTGCCATTTAATTGTCCTAGTAGAAAAGTGTTCAGTGTTTTGCCATTAAGTATTTCACCATTGAGAGGTTGAGAAATTTCCCTTCTGTTCTAGTTTGCCAAGAGATTTTTATTGTTGTTGTTGTTTTTGTTTATTTGTTTTTACCAAGAATAGGTGTTAGAATTTGTCATTTTGTGCATCTATTGAGATCATGCATCTAATGATGATCTCACTGTGAAATTGATACATGATTTGACACTGAAATACATTGATTTTTGATAATTAGGCAATCTTGAATTTCTAGGATAAATTCCACTTGTGCATTATGTATACATACACACATTCATATATATACACAAAATATATATGTATTCCCATGCATACAAATATATATACACAAATATATATATGTGTGTGTGTGTGTGTGTGTGTGTGTGTGTGTGTGTATGCATATATTACTAGATTCTGTTTGTTAAAGCATTATCATGTTTTTGAGAAAAATTGGCCTGTAGCTTTCTTGCGATGTTGTAATGTTTAAGCAAGCCCCTCCTTAGAAAGGGGTATGTTCTCTAGGAGTATGAGGAACTAAAACAAGAAGAGAAAGACACAGATCTATCTAGGAAACAGGAAGACACTGATCTGAGGTCCCAGCATGACAACCATGCAGTAGTTGAAGTAGGCAAGTGGTTTACCATAGGGGTTAGAGAAGAGGGATTTGGAAGGAAAATGTCAGGATATCATAGAATGGAAAACATCTTAGGAGTTTTTAAAAAATAAATATGATAAAAGCAAAAAATGCCACAAAAATAAATGCAATTATAAACTCCAGGAGAAAAACAAAACAGAAATAAAACAACAAAACAAAAAACTGCAAGAATGTCATATATTCAATAGGAAGCTAACAAAATTCCTCCGTTAAACACTTGATGCAAAAAATTAGACTCCACTTCATTTTTGTGCAGGAATGTTCTTCTCTGAATCTCCAGGATCTATGGCCTTGAGGTTCCGAGAAGAAGGTAGAATTCTGGCACATATTTTTGGCCTGCACTAAACAGTTTCATTGTGATAATACTGATTCATGGTTTTCATGTTTTAGAATCACCCTAAGAAGGATGTACGGAAGACTTGACTGATTGGAGGATCAAAATATGTTGGGGGAAAATGTACAAGGAGGAGTAAGGACACAGATGTCCTGACTTTACACAGTGGGGGATTAGAAGCCACCATCAAACATGATGAAACAGGAATAAAAGTTGTAGTACATTGCTTAAGCTTTAAAAGGTAACCAAAGGAAAAACCAACATAACACGCCGTAATTGTAAGACATGGGGAAGGGAATATAAAAGCAGAGGGTATATATTTTAGTTCCATTTTGAGATGTTTATCCAGTATTAATCAGCTGGTCAGCTGCAAGTATACAGGAAGCTTGATCAAAGAACAGACTGAGAAGAAAAGACATTTGCCAGGTTTAAGGAAAGAAACTGAGGGGAAAATAACACCAGTGCAGAATGTAAAAAATAGAAGTAGCAAAGAAAAGAATTAATACTGCAGAAACCTGAGTCAGGGGGCTGGGAGTATGAACAGGCTTTAGACAGTCTTGGAAGATGCAAAGGAAAATGAAAAATAAATAACAACCACGAGAGAAAGGAAGGCATATATGGAAGGCTACTGGGGCATGCTTGCCATAGCAACACGTGGGCTGACCGACCTAGAGCATACAACAAGTGGAAACCAAAATAGCATGCAGTTACACAACAAAAAATCATCTTGAAATGAAGGGAAAACTAAATTGACAGAAATGACTGGGCTTACTGTGTTCTGAATAATATATACAATAAGGCCTGGTGAAAATTATTAAAATTCAAGGATGAATCCAACAAACATCCAGGCCTGAAAAGCAAATTGCAAAGAAAATTTAAAATACCGTGGTTTGGTCAGAATTTCCTCAGCAACATCAGATTCCAGAAAGTCTGAGAAAATAGGTCAAGAAGATTTGTGATGGAAAAACATGTGATCTGAGAATACTATATTCAGTCCACTTGTTTGTCTTTAGTAAAAGCTGTAGGAACAAGTCTCCAACGTACAAGGACTCACACCCATTTGCTTTTTTATTTTAGCAAACCAAAAGATCCACAAAAGAAGAGGCTGTCTTATGAAAGGACTGATCATAGAACCAAGCCAAATAGTACTGATAATTAACATTACAAGACTGCATCAAAATATTCTTATTCTAGGGAGAAGAGCTGCACAATATAGAAATAATTATAGCTAAAATTAGTAGGGTCAGAAATATCAGAGCACACAAATTTAGAGAAAAGTGTGTGATGAGGATGGAACCAGAGATAATGATAGTATGTAGAATCTTCATCTTTTGTAGAAAATACTAAAACATCTTGCTTCATATCTGAAACTGATAATTGATAAATACATGTTTAAAGATTTTATATAAAGTTAAAACATAGCCACCACCAGAAATATAATCTAACTGTACTACATCCAAATTACCAGATGGGAAAAAAATAAAACAGACCTTATATAGAGCAAAAGAGAAAGAGGAAGAAAACATTAAAAAGACAAAGTATAAAATACAGCAAAGTAAGAGTAAATATGTCTACTGTAGCAACAAATACTCAGTTTAATAGTTAAATAATCTTATAGTTGTCCAAAACCCACAAGTTTTGCAGGTGTTGTATTAAAGAGAGGTATTTAAGAATGGCCCAGTCTGAAGGTAAAAGTTTGGAGATGTCATACAAATACAAGCAGAAATAAAGTAGGGGTAAACACAATGATATATCAACGAGTTAAAATCACATTAAATGCTGATTAGTAATACATTAAAGCCCTTGACAGCACAGATTCTGCTTCATACATTGCTGGTGGAAATATAAAATAGTGCCGCCACTCTGGAAAACAGTTTGGCAGTTCCTCAAGAAGTTAAAGATAGTCTTACCATATGACCCAGCAATTTTACTCCAAAGTGCATATCCAAGAGAATTGAAAACATATGTTCATCCAAAAACGAGTATATGAATGTTCATAAAGGTATTATTCATATTAGCCCCAAAGTGGAAACAATCCAAATGTCTATCAACTGATGAATGGATAAATAAAATGTGGTATATCTATACAATGGAATATTATTCAGCTATGACAAGGAGTGAAGTAATAACACTTGCTAAAATATGGATGAACCTTAAAAGCGTTACGGTAGGTGAAAGAAGTCTGGCACAAAAGGCCACGTATTGTATGATTCCATTTATATGAAATGTCCAGAATAGGCAAATCTATATAGAGAGAAAGCAGATGAGTGATTGATAGGGGCGTGTGGGTGAGTGAGATTAGTATTGATTGCTAATGGTACAAGATTTCTATTTTGGGTAATGAAAACGTTCTGTAATTAGATAGCAGTGATGGCTACACAACACAGTGAATATGCTAAAACTCACTGAAATGTATTATATACTAAAACTCACTGAAATGTATTATATACTAAAACTCACTGAGTTGTATTATATACTAAAACTCACTGAGTTGTATTGTATTTAAAGTGGCAAATTTTATAAGTGAATTCTATCTCAAAGCAAATAATTTTAAAAAGAGCAAGGAATCTAGAACCAGGGTTGAAGAACACTTCTGACCCTCTCTTTATGGTGCCTAGAGCTTGGTATTAAATGTCCTTGTACCTCAGTTCCTAATCTGTATAATGAGAATAATAATATCTCCCTCATTTGTTGTTGCAGGAATTAAATGACTTAATATTTATGAGATTCCTGGTGTATCAGACCATTCTCATGCTGCTACTAAAGATATACTCAAGACCGGGTAATTTATAAAGGAAAGAGGTTGAATTGACTCACAATTCAGTATGGTTGGAGAGGCCTCAGGAAACTTACAATTATGGTGGCAGGGGAAGCAAACATGTCCTTCTTCACATGGAAGCAACAAGGAGAAGTGCCTAGCAAAAGGGGGGAAAAGCCCCTTATAAAACCATCGAATCTCATGAGAACTCACTCACTATCACAAGAACACCATGAGGGTAACTGCCCCATGATTCAATTATCTCCCCCTAAGCCCCTCCCACAAAACATGGAAATCATGGGAACTAAAATTCGAGATGAGATTTGGGTGGGGACACAGTCAAGTCATATTACCTGGCATAGCTAACGCTATATAAGAGTTGTTACATAAAATGTAAAAAGTAAGTAGGTCTAAGAGCATGTCAGAGTGATGTAATAATTCAGAACAAAAGAGCAACTGTCTTGGATGGTTTTGAACAAAATCACAAAATATTCACTTCGATAAAGGATGAAAAAGAAATGACAAACTCTACAGCTATAACAGTGGTGCCTCATGCATCTCTCAGCCCTTGACTCACCAAGCTGACTGAAGAAGTCTCAGCCATGGACCTCACACCAATGAACATCCTTTTCACAGAACACAAATTAGGCCATCAAAATGTTAGTAGGTTCAAAAACTAGATATACTACAAGTTATATTCATTGACCAATTTAGGAATAGTATCAGATAACAACAGAAAAATGCCCATTTGTTATTCTAACCATTTATCAATTAAAACAATAACACTAGTGTTCAAAAACCAGAACAAAACCAAACCTTTAGGCTGAAGACTAAAGCAAAACTGTAATTATAGAATAGCTTGTACTCAGTACAGTACCAAGAGGAAAAATTCATATTCTTTACCCTTTAAGAGTCAAAACAAAAAAGACATTAAATTAAGTAATTCAGGATTAAGAATTACTAAGAATTAAACTAAAAAAGTGGATTAAAAAGCAACACATTAGAGCCAATAATGATAAAAGCTGAAATGTGATGAGCTAGGAACCACATAAATAAATAAATAAAATAAAACTAAGAGCTGGATTAAACTATGGTAAAATAAATGAATGATAAAGCCTAAAAAATATAAAAGTATACTGGTAATAAGGAGAAAGTGAAAGAACCACAAACAGAATTAAAAGACAGAAGAGACCACTTTGTAAAGTTCCGGTGTAAAAACTTTGACCACATGGATGAAATGGATAATTTTAAAAAGAATGATGAAGATGAGTCTTGATTAAAGAAGGAGAAAAGCTAAATAGACAAATACCATGGTACAGGTCTGTGAAAGAGCCACTCTCAAATAGTTGTAGGCGTAGGCATTCTCCTTTCTTTTATTAAACTTTCAAAGCACGTCTATGAAAAATCAAGAGAATTCTAGAATTCTCATAACACAAGGAACATAAATATATCTTTCAAAAACAATACCTACCATTAGGCTTAATGGCAAAAAAAAAAAAATCAAAACATTTACAACAAAATGAATATGAAGACACAGGTGTCTTCTATTACTACGATTATTTAACTTTTAATGAAATTTTAAAAGCTTCTCCTAAATTTTCACAGTAAAATAGATATAGAAGTATCCTTCTCTAACTTGATTAACAAATACGTCTATCTCAAATGACAGATAGCACCAGCTGAGACACTAAAGAAATCCTTTAGGCCAGGCACGGTGGCTGATGTCTGTAATCCCAGCAGTTTGGGAGGCTGAGATGGACTGATCACCTGAGGTTAGGGGTTTGAGACCAGTCTGGCTAACATGGTGAAATTATGTCTCTACTAAAAATTACAAAAATTAGCCAGGCATGGTGGTGCATGCCTGTAATCCCAGCTACTCCCGAGACAGAGGCAGGAGAATCGCTGGAACCCAGGAGGCAGAGGTTGTAGTGAGCTGAGATTGCGCCACCACACTCCAGCCTGGGTGACAGAGCCAGACTCTGTCTCGAAAGTAAACAAATATAAAATAAAAAATCTTTTAAAGCCAATAATAAAAGTATGTGCTTAATCACTGCTTTTATTTAATAGAATTCTGGAATTGTGAGGCACTGTAATTAGATAGGAAAGTGACGTAAGAATATATATTGAAAAAGAAGAGGCATACATCACTATTTTTGGATGATATAATTATGTATCTGAAAAGCCTAAAAAAATCAACTAAAAAACTATGAGTCTCAGCGCTTGATTGAGAAATATCGGAGAGTACAGACTTAGTTTGTGGCACTGAAGATACAGGAGTGAGTTGGAGAGAGTCCTGCCCTCCTGGAGTTTGTATTTCAGCCGGGGAGATGGGAAGTGGCATAGAAAAAAAAAAATAAGTGTATAATGTAATTGTCAGGCATGTGAACCAGAACAGCTCCATCTCGAATAGGAGCTGGGTAAAATGAGGCTGAAACCAACTGGGCTACATTCCCAGACGGTTAAGGCATTCTGAGTCACAGGATGAGATACGAGGTTGGCACAAGATACAGGTCATAAAGACTTTGCTGATGAAACAGGTTGCAGTAAGGAGACGACTGAAACCCACCAAAAGCAAGATGGCCACAAGAGTGACCTCTGGTTGTCCTCACTGCTACACTCCCACCAGCGCCATGACAATTTACAAATGCCATGGCAATGTCAGAAAGTTACCGTATATGGTCTAAAGAGGGGAAGCATGAATAATCCACTTTTCATTTAGCATATCATCAAGAAATAACCATAAAAATGGGCAACCAGCAGCCCTTGGGGTTGCTCTGTCTATGGAGTAACCATTCTTTATTCCTTTACTTTCTTTCTTTCTTTTTTTTTTTTTTTTTTTTTTGAGACAGAGTTTTGCTCTTGTCTAGGCTGGAGTGCAATGGGGCAACCTTGGCTCACTGCAACCTCCACCTCCTGGGTTCAAGTGATTCTCCTGTCTCAGCCTCCCAAGTAACTGGGACTACAGGTGTGCACCACCATGACTGGCTAATTTTTTGTATTTAGTAGAGACTGGGTTTTATCATGTGGGTCAGCCAGCTTCTGAGCTCCCAACCTCAAGTGATTCATCTGCCTCGGGCTCCCAACGTGCTGGGGTTACAGGTGTGAGCTACCTCACCGGGCCGATTCCTTTACTTTCTTAATAAACTTGCTTTCCGTTACTCTGTGAACTCGCCCTGAATTCTTTCTTGTGTGAGATCCAAGAACCCTCTCTGGTGGTCTGGATCGGGTCTCCTTGCCTGTAACATAATGTCAGGTATTGGTAGAGACTACAAAGAAAGACCAACCGGGGGAAGAGCCTGGAGAACAATGAGAATGTTGTGTTAGGCAAGGAGGCGAGGGACTGCAACTCCCCTAAATATCTTCCAACCTGAGCACAATGCCAGTCAAAACCCTGATGCAACTTTAGGAGGCCAAGGTGGGTGGATCTCCTGAGGTCAGGAGTTTAAGACCAGCCTGGCAAACATGGCAGAACCCCATCTTTACTAAATATGCAAAAATTAGTGGGACATGGTGGCACCTGTAGTCCCAACTCTGAAGGCTGAGGCAGGAGAATAGCTTGAACCTGGGAAGTGGAGGTTGCAGGGAGCTGAGATCTTGCTACTGCACTCCAGCCTGGGCAACAGAGTAAGACTCCGCCTCAAAAGCAAATCAAATCAAAACAATACAAAACAAAACTCCCTGATGTAATCCCTTCCATTCCCACCTCTTCTCTCCTTACTGAGTTTTTTTTTTTTTGAAATTGACAAAATAATCTTAAAGTTTATCTGGAAAAATGAAAGTGGAAGAATAGAACTAACACTCTTGAATAAAGAGTAATGGGGATGGGAGTGGAGGGAAGTAAAAGTATTATATTGAGATATTTAACAAATTATATTACTAAGCAACTAGTATCAAAATAATGTGGTACTTTCTCCTTAAATACACAGTGAGATCCATGAAATTGAATGCAAAGACTGACCACATACTTAATTGCTGATTTTGAAGAATTTCTTTAGTGTTTCACCTGGTGCTGTCTATCAATTTGAGACAGGGATATTTGTTAATCAGGCTAGGGAAAGATACATCTGTATCTATTTTACTGAAAAAATTAGG